CGCGCACGCGCGGCGGGTGACCCGCGCACCGCGCGGATCACCCGAAGTCTTTTCGGGCGCCGCTTAGGGTTCACTTTACTTTTCATGCCAACATGGTGACTGTTTGATTTTGCGCACTACAGAACTCCGCGCGCGCGGGGAGCCCTGTACTGTCCAACCTGCGATGCTTACGCACAAACCAATGTTAACTTGGAGATTTAGTAGGCCAGCGTTAAACCCTTGACAACAGCCCTAAGCCTTGACAGGCTTCGACGCTGCTTAAAGGCCTGCCAAGTGTTGTCAAGGGTTATCAAGGCTTGACAAGCGCTATCAGGCCATGCCGAGGGCTTGCCACGCGCTGTCAACAAGAAAAAACCAAAATGATCAAAAAAAAAACGGGACAATGAGCAATGAAACGCGACGCTCAAGATTTTGCAGAAAACATACAGAACGAGCCTCATGAAGAATTCGTGACTCACGGGAGTCTTGGTCTTCTGGATTGGCGGCGGGTTCGCCTTCGGCGAGCGAGTGTCGACGAAAAGGGGCTCGGCCGATGCGCCCGCCGCTCCCATTCCAGGATATGCGCGCCGGATTGCTAGCAACCCGTTGGGTCCGACAGGAGGACAGTCGTTTTTTTGAGCAAGCCTCTGGTTACATGCAGCCGGGCCCCCAAAATTCTACTGTCGTGCTTTTCTGTCCGGCCGCGGGGAATAGGGACGGGCGCGCCCGGCGCGAATCTGGCCCAAGTGAAGTGTCGCTCTTGTTGAAACAGGAGTGGTGTCAAGAAAGCCTTCCAATCTGTCGTTGTCGACGCCGCCATGATACAGCGCCCGCCCGTGTCACCGACGCGCACGGAAATGGTGGCGCGTCAGCGCGGCCTGCGGGGCGCGCTGGAAAGTCCCCGTCCGTCAGCGCCACCGCGGCCGCGTCGGTCGCGCCAGACTAGCTGGCCGCAGTGCGCGCGAGCCTGCGCGCGCTGGCGCGGCCGCAGACATGCGCCAGCCAGCGCCAAGCAGTCATGGCCATCGCCGCCGCATGGGTTTTGCAAACCCAGTTGTGGGTGGGTGGGTGGCATGATTGCGCGAGCATTGGAGTTGTCAGTGTCAAGTTCGGCAGGGTGGATTCACAACATAGATTGTACCACGTAGATTGCGCATCGTACGTTGCACAGCGTAATTCGCACCACATCGATCGCACCACGTAAGTTGCACCACGTAGATCGCACCACGTAGAGCGCGCCACATTGAGTGCTGCACCACGTTGGTGGTGCAACATAGGTTGCATCCGGTAGATTTCGCCGCTTTTGATGCACCGCGTTGATTGCGCACCACATGAATTCTCCTTTTCTAAAAAGAGATTAGACTCTACCCCCCCGGACTTATCGCTTCCCCCTGGGATAGTATGATTTCATATTTTTCTGCACCGTCGTCCATCCTAAATATGAAATCGTTTCATCCCAGCCAGGCCGGGTTCCCCCCCTCTGAGGTTCCCTTGTGAAAAACACTATGCGGTGACATTTTTTGTTCGAGCATATTTTTTCACGAATCCCTTGCAAAAAGATGGGACGAAGTGCACACGCGCGCGTCGCCGCGCGAGCATGCCGAAATCCTTCAAAAACCTTCGGTGCCGGAAGGATTTCGCAATCGAGTTTTCAAAAAACATACAATAACACATGGTTTCGCAACATTGATTTGCTAAAAAAGCTTCCGCACGAGCTTTTGCGAAATCTTAAGGAAACCATAGGTTTTTCAAGATTTTCACAAAATGCTACCAAACGGGCTTCGCGCGCGCATGTCGAAATCTGTCGAACGCCCTTGCGCGTGTGCCGTCGCGAAAATCCCATGCAACAAACGGGACAAAGTGCAGACGCGCGCGTCGTCGCGGGCGTATGCCGAAAACTTTCAAAACCCATCGGTTTCGGAAGGATTTCAAAATCGTGCGTCCAAAAAACCTACAAAAACCCAAGGTTTCGCGCGCGCGCGTCGTCGTCGTCGTCGTCGTCGTCGTCGTCGCCTACGTCGTCCTCTGTCTTTTCTCGTGTTCGTCGTCGTCGTCCTGTTTGGCGTCGTGGTCGTTTCCGTCGTCGTTGTCGCCGTGGTCGTTCTTCCTCCTCTTCCCACGTCGTCGTCGTCGTCCGTCGTCGGCGTCTCGTCGTCGTCCCTCCTATTTCGTCGTCCGTCGTCGTCGTCGTTGTCGTCTCGTCTTCCCTCCTCCCTCGTCGTTGTCGTCGTCGGCGTCGCCGTCCTTCCTCCTTCGTCGTCGTTCGCGTCGTCGCCGTCCTCCCTCCTCCTTCGTCGTTGTCGTCGTTGTCGTCGTTGTCGCCGTCGTCGTCCTTCCTCCTCCCTCGTCGTCGCCTTCGTTGGCGTCGTCGTCATCGTCTTCGTCGTCGTCGGCGTCGGCGTCGTTGTCGTCGTCGAAGTCGTCGGAGACGTCGTCGGTGTCGTCCTAGTCGTTGTCGTCGGTGTCGTCGTAGTCGGTCTTAACGGGTTTTGCAAACCAAGTTGCGGGTGGGTGGGTGGGATGTTTGCGCGAGCAGTGGAGATGACGACTTCAAGTTCAGCAGAGTGGATTGCACCACATTGGCTGCACCACATCGATTGCACCATGGCGCGTCGAAAACAAACGGCGCGGCGACACATATTACACCACATCGATTTCAAATTATCGTGTGTAAAACATACATTGTGCAACATCCATTGCGCAACATCGATTCTCCTTTCTACAAAAGAATAGATTCTACCCCCCCCGGACTTATCGCTTCCCCCTGAGATAGTATAATTTCACATATATATATATATTCTGCACATTCGTCCATCCTAAAAATGAAATCATACCATCCCAGCCAGGCCGGGTTCCCCCCCCTGAGGTTCTCTTGTAAAGAACATTGTGCGGTGACATTTTTTGTTCTAGCATCGCACTTTTTCACGAATCCCTTGCAACAGATGGGACGAAGTGCGCACGCGCGCGTCGTCGCGCGCGCATGCCGAAATCCTTCAAAAACCTTCGGTGCCAGAAGGGTTTCGCAATCGAGTTTCCCAAAAACATACAAGAACACATGGTTTCGCAACACTGATTTGCTAAAAAAGCTTCCGCGCGAGCTCTTGCGAAATCTTAAGGAAACCATAGGTTTTTCAAGGTTTTCACAAAATGCTACCAAACGGGCTTCGCGCGCGCATGTCGAAATCTGTCGAAAGCCCTTGCGCGTGTGCCGTCGCGAGAATCCGATGCAAAAAATGAGACGAAGTGCAGACGCGCGCGTCGTCGCGGGCGTATGCCGAAAACCTTCAAAACCCATCGGTTTCGGAAGGATTTCAAAATCGTGCGTCCAAAAAACCTACAAAAAGCCAAGGTTTCGCAACACGGATTTTCAACAGAAGCGTGCGCGCGCGCTCTTGCGTCGTCGTCGTCGTCGTCGCCGTCCTCCCTCCTCCCGCGTCGTCGTCGTCGTCGTCGTCGCCTACGTCGTCCTCTGTCTTTTCTCGTGTTCGTCGTCGTCGTCCTCTTTGGCGTCGTTGTCGTTTCCGTCGTCGTTGTCGCCGTGGTCGTCCTTCCTCCTCCTCCCACGTCGTCGTCGTCGTCCGTCGTCGGCGTCTCGTCGTCGTCCCTCCTATTTCGTCGCCGTCGTCGTCGTCGTCGTCGTCGTCGTCGTCTTCCCTCCTCCCTCGTCGTTGTCGTCGTCGGCGTCGCCGTCCTTCCTCCTTCGTCGTCGTTCGCGTCGTCGCCGTCCTCCCTCCTCCCTCGTCGTTGTCGTCGTTGTCGTCGTTGTCGCCGTCGTCGTCCTTCCTCCTCCCTCGTCGTCGCCTTCGTTGGGCGTCGTCGTCGTCTTCGTCGTCGTCGGCGTCGGCGTCGTTGTCGTCGTCGAAGTCGTCGGAGACGTCGTCGGTGTCGTCCTAGTCGTTGTCGTCGGTGTCGTCGTAGTCGGTCTTAACGGGTTTTGCAAACCAAGTTGCGGGTGGGTGGGATGTTTGCGTGAGCAGTGGAGATGACGACTTCAAGTTCAGCAGAGTGGATTGCACCACATCGATTTCACCGCGTAGATTGTTCCACAATGACTGCTCCACATAGAAAACCAACACCCCTCGTAACTCATCCCCCTTCTCGCGCCGCCAAACGTGTCGATAAGGCGGGTCAGGCGTCGTTTCGAACGAGACTTCTTCACCACTGACGATCTTGAAACTTGAAATTTGCAGCAGTTTCAAGGATGGGCGGCGGGCTGTTTAAAATATGTGGCTCTTGTTTTTAGCGCCGCGCAAATTCGTCTTTCGTGTTTGCAGCAGGGTCAAGGATTCAAGGCGGGCCGTGTTCCACATGTGACTTTCCCGCTAGCACCGTGCACATTCGTCTTGCTTTGAGGATGGAGTCCTGGTCCACTTCAAAGTGTGCTCTCAGTTTAGCGCCGCACGCATTCTTTCTAGACGTGTGAAGCACCTTCAAAGGATGAAGGGCGGGCCCGCTTCAAACTGTGGCTCTCGATGCTGCGCCGCGCACGTTCGTCTTCAGGGTTTGAAGCAGCCTCACAGATGGAAGGCGGACGGTTTTCAGAATGCGGCTCCCAATTGAGCGCCGCGCCCATTCGTTTGAGAAGCATGCAGCAGCAAATAACGGTGCTCTGGCGAGATTTAGGATTGTCAGGGCGCAGCGGTCACGTTGCTCCGCGGTTTTGAATTCACAGGATGGGTTTTCTGGCATGACCTAGGATTGTCAGGGGGCAGCAGCCATGTTGGTTCGCGGCGTTGGGAAACCAGGAATGGTGATTTGGCACGGTGGAGGATTCTCAGACGGTTGTCTTGCAATGGGGCGCTTCCCGTAATGCAAATATGATACTTGCAGGGACCTGTGAAGAGGGAACTTGGATTGCAACATCGTTGGCTCGCCATGGGTTTACACTGGCTCCTCCTCCTCCTCCTCCTCCTCCTCCTCCTCCTCCTCCTCCTCGTCTTTCTACAGTGGGCGGACTCTAGCAACGGAGCTGTCGCGTTCACCTCCTCCTCCTCCTCCTCCTCCGCCCTCCCCTCCCCGAGGCTGGGCTCGAGCCAACCTCGTACACGCTGACCTTCGCCATGCGCGCCTGCAGCCGGGCGGAGCAGTGGGAGCGCCGCCCCCCCCAGCCTGGGCGGCCGCGGCGCCCCTCCCGCCGCTGGGTGCCTCGGGGGAGGAGGAGGAGGAGGAGGAGGAGGAGGAGGAGGAGGAGGAGGAGGAGGAGGAGGAGGAGGAGGAGGAGGAGGAGGAGGAGGAGGAGAGGAGGAGGAGGAGGAGGAGGAGGAGGAGGAGGAGGAGGAGGAGGAGCACGCCCCGCCCCGCCCCGCTCTCCCTGCCCCGCCCCTCCGGCGAGGCGGCGCGCGCCGACCCTCCTCCTCCCTGGACCGTGCGCGCGGCCTCCACGGGCGGCGGCGAGGGGGTGGCATCCTTGCGCCGCCCGCCCTGGCTGCCGTGGGAAGAGGCTTCGCCTCCTCCTCCTCCTCCTCCTGCTCCTCCTCCTCCTCCGCCTCCTCCTCCTGCTCCGCCTCCTCCTGCCTCCTCCTCCTCTCCCTCTCCTCCCTCTCCTCCTCCTCCTGCCACCTCCTCCCTCTCCTCCTTCTCCTCCTCCTCCTCCTCCTCCTCCTGATGACTGGCGCCAGTGCCCCACCGCCGCCTCGAGGGCAGGCGGTGTCGTCCGTGCGCGGTCCCGTCGGCCACGAGACCTCTCTTTGCGCTTTGCGCATCCACACGCCTGGGCACGGGCGGTACCGAGCACGCCCCGGCGCGAAGCTGATCGGACAGCAGCTCCTCTCCTTCCCCCTGAGTGGGCACACAGCGCAGGACCAGTGAACGGGGAGATGGTGGCCATCAGATTCCATGCGTTCCAGCCGTTGCCTACCACTGCGCAATTCCAGGAAGATCCGATCTTCGCCTTGCTGAAGACCTATTCGGAGGAAGACTATTCGCACGCTACAACCCTCGTCAAACTTAACTTCAAACACGTCTTACGTAGATGAACTGTTTGTGGGGAGATACTGGACAGAGTAGCGGTGACTGCGAGTTAGTTCCCTACCTAGGCTCTGCCTAGAAGGGTTCTTACTCTCTGGGCTTAAAGGGCCTGGCAGTGGAAAGCGCCCCGAGCGGTTCCCCCAGTATCCGCCCCGCGGTTCCCCCAGTTACGTCCCCTTAGCTTAGCGTTGCTTATCTCATCTTAGCTTAGCTTATTTCATCTTAGCTTAGCTTCATCTTAGCTCAGGTTTATCTTAGCTTAGCTTACCTTCATCTTAGCTTCGCTGAGCTTTAGCATCGCAGAGCACAACATAGCATAGCATAGCGTAGCATAGCATAGCGCAGCACAGCATATCATAGCATAGCCCAGCATAGCATAGCATAGCGCAGCATAGCATAGCATAGCATAGCATAGCGCAGCACATCACAGCACAGCATAGCACAGCGCAGAATAGCATAGCATAGCATAGCATAGCATAGTATAGCAGAGCAGATCATAGCATAGCATAGCAGCAAAGCAAAGGCAAAGCAACAGCAGCGACAGCAAAGCAACGCACAAGCAACGCAAAGCAAAGCAAAGCAAAAGCAAAAGCAAAGCAAAGGAAAGGCACAGCAAAAGCAATGTGCGACAGATGCCGAGCTAGCCTCGATGGCCGGACCAGAGCCCCCACAAGCAGTGCCTTCCGTAACCATTTCGGCTTAGCTTAGCTTAGCTTAGCGCAGCGAAGCGCTGCATTAACATAGCATAGCATAGCATAACATAGCCAATCATAGCATAGCACAGCGCAGCATAGCATAGCATAGCATATCATAGCATAGCATAGCACAGCATAGCGCAGCTTAGCATAGCATAACACAGCATATCATAGCTTAACATAGCACAGCGCCATCATGACATAGCATATCATAACATAACACATAACAGCATATCATAGCACACCATCGCATAACGCAGCATAGCATAGCATAGCATAGCATAGCACATCATCGCATATCATAGCATAGCATAGCATACCATATCATAGCATATCATAGCATAGCATAGCATAGTATAGCGCAGCATATCATGGCATATCATAGCATAGCATAGCAGCTAATGCTGCTTTCCTAGGGGGTCCAACTTCTAGGTAGGGTCGCACTGGGGTAATTTACGTGTATGCGCCGCCCCTCCAATGTCGGTCATCATCGAACTTCCAAGTGTTTCCCGGTCAGACCACTTTTGCCCTGGCCCCGACATTGGAGGGGCGTCTCTCGGCACTGAAGGGCGCGCCGACACCGCAGGGGCGCGGTCGCCATTTCTGAGGTTCATTTCGACGACGAGGGTAGCAGTAGACATATTTTTTGCGAAGTGGGGGTCGCACGAAATCTTCCAGGGTAAGTCACCACGTGCCCCCCCCACCGCCCCTCGCGCGCCGCAGTGCCTCCGGGGGCGGGGCGCGAGCGAGAGCGCGCACTCGCCGCGTGCTCGCGGCACGTGCGCGGGGCGTGCAGCCAGGCGGCCGCTCCCCGCCCCTCCCTCCCTCCCCCTCCCTCCTCCCTCCTGCCTCCTCCCCCCCCCTCCCCTCCCCCTCTCCTTTCTCCCTCCTCCCTCCTCCCTTCTCCTCCTTCCTTCCTCCTCCCCTCTCCCTCCTCCCTCCCTCCCTCCCTCCCTCCCTCCTGCCCCCTCCTCCTCCCTCCTTCCTCCCTCTTCCCTCCTTCCTCCTTCCTGCCTCCTCCCTCCTCCCTCCTCCTCCCCTCCTCCCTCCTCCCTCCCCTCTCCTCCCTCATCCCTCCCTCCTCCTCCCTCTCCTGCCTCCTCCCTCCTCCCTCCCTCCTCCCCCCTCCTCCCTCCTCCCTCCTCCCAGGCGGCGAGCCCTGAACCAGCTCTCGATGCTCCGTTCCGACGTCGCGACGCCCCGGCTCGGGACCAGAAATATTTTTCTTTCACTGGTTGTTTGGGTTTTCGATCGTAGACGCTTCGTTGCATTCTTACACGGCGCGCTCTTCGTTTCGCTGCCTGCTGCCTCCTCGGAACGCGTAAACCAAGCGAGCGTGGCCAGAGCAAGATTCTGCTGGGCTCCTCGAGAACGACGCGCGCGCTGTAGATGCATTTTCATTTATTGATGGACAGCGACGAGATGCGCGATGCATCGGCCCTTCGGTTGGTTCGAGCGGCCCCCGAACAGACATTGAGGCCGCATGTGCCTATAAAGTCGCGGCTTGATCCCGTTCAATCAGCGCGTATTTCAAGGCTGCTCGGCAATGTCGACGGGAACTTTCATGCCCAAACGAATGTGTGCACCGTTATTCTCCGCAGGCCTCAGGCGCAGGACTGTGCGCGCCGCGCCGCGCCGCAGATCGGTGCGCGCGCTCAAGCGAGGGCGCGGCCATGCGTCGATCGGCCCGCCGCCTCAGGGCGCGCGCGGCGTCCGCCCCTGGAACCCCCGCCAGGCCGGATCGGTGAAATGAAAGAGTTTGTTGTTCTGGGTGGGCCAGAACCGCAAAATCTCTCATTTCACCAGTCGCGGGTCTGGGTTGCGTCCCTGTCCGGGGCGGATGCGAGTGGTTCCTTACGTGCTTCTGCGGGGGGCTCGCTCTCGGGCGCATCGGGCCTCTATTGGGGCTTGTCGCGCTCTTCCTCGGGTTCCCCTACTGGCTCTCCCAGGGCCCCCGTGGAGCTCTTGCGGCGATGTGGAAGCTCCTGGAGACGTCTCTCTCGACGACGGATTGGGGATCTGGGTTTCACCAGACGCCCAGGGTCGTTTCTCGGCGCGTTCAAGCCGACGTGGACAACCCCCCGCAGTCCCCGGCCGCCCAGAGAGCGCCATTGGCGCCTTAAGGGATTCTTTCTGGCGGCGTGCCATGGTGTCCAATTGTCGTGCGACGCCGTGCTGGGCGCTCCTTCAAATCGCAAGCTCGGTCGATTCGCACAGTTGGCGTCGCGTCGCGCAGATGTCGGCTTCATCGTGATCAGCGATCATGTGGGCACGAGGGCCAGTGCATCACAATCTACAGGCCGACCAGCGAAAGGCGAAAATTATTTATTTTTGACCTCTACCGGCGACCGTGCCCGGTGGCGTTGGCTCCGTCGCGGCCGCGGCCGCTGGAAGCAGGCGCGCGCGCGCGCGTCGTGCGCGCGCCTGCGGCCGGGGCCCCCTCCGCGGCCGGGCAGGCGGAGTTCTGCCCTGGCCTGGGGGGCCTCGTGGGCCTGGGCGCCGCCGCGGCCGCCGCCTGTCTGAGGGCGGAGCGAGCGCAACTGCCGCACCTGGCGCGCTTCTGGTGGCTGGGGTTGAGTCGGGCGTGTCCCTCTACAGGAGGAATGTTCAAAACTAGTTAAAAATAGTCGGGGGACGATTTTTCGCTTACTTTTGACTACTTTGAGCATTTGTGTGATTATTTTTCGTTCGACCAAAACCCGCCTGTAGAAGGACGTGCCCTACCTCAGGCTGGAGTGGGGCGACCAGGACCCTTCGATGCTGGGGGCGGGCGCGACCGGGCCAGGCGCCCGTGCCGAGCGTGAAGCTGGTCTTGGACGGGCGCGCGGCGGCGGAGATGCAGGCCGACCGTATCCTAAAGGACAGGTCATCGTCCCAGTGTGCTCTTGCGCCCTTGCTTCTTCGGCCCGTCCTTAGCCTTCAGTCGGGCACGTCCCTCTACAGGAGGAACACCCCAAAACAGTAAAACATAGTTTTGGGATGATTTTCTGTTTTTCTCCATGTTTGAATATTTGTTTGACTATTTTCATTTTTCCCCCACGATCCGCCTGCAGGGGGACATGCCCGACCTAACCTTGGCCTCTTCGGCCCGTCTGGCGCCGCTCTATAATTAAGCTCCACTTGGGCGTCCCAGGTCCCTGCGTCCTTACCGTGCGTCCTTAATGTGGTCTGGTATGGCTGTGGCGGCGCCGGTGCCCCCAGTCGCACGGGTGTGCTTTTGGGCGTGCTGTTTTGCCGATGTCCGAGGCAGGGCGAGAATTGATTGTGCGCACTGTCTGCCCTGCGCCTTCAGCGCCGTGGCATGCGGCGGCAGGGATGGTCTCCCAGTTGTTCTGGTGGTGCGCGGTTCAGCGCGATCGATCCTCGCGGGCCCTGTCGCGGGCCGTCGCGGCGACGTCTCTTTTCTTGCAGGGCCTCTGTTCCCTCACCGCCCACCAGACCACCCCAACCCAACCCGAAGGCCCCTATTTGCCCTCCACTTCCAGTGAGGGGGGGTCGGGGAACATGGAAAAAGCACAGATGGAACACGCACCCCCCCCCCACCCGGAGTTGGTGCCTTCGGGTTGGGTCGGGGTGGTCTGGTGGGCAGTCAGCCTCGGCCCCTGCGGCCGCCGCTGCGCGGTGCCTGCACCTGGCTGCCTGCTCTTGCCTGCAGCACCTCGCGGAGGCGAGAGCCTCCCGCTCGCTGCCGTGACGGCGCCCGGGCCGGTCCCCGCGCGGGGGTCCAGGCGCCGCTGGCACCCGCCCGCGCCCGCAGGGCGGCGCCAGGCACCGGCCCTGCCTGCTGGAGCGGCTTTTCGGCGGGGCTGGCGTGCAGCGCGCCGTGCGGGGGGGCCTCGACGTGCAGACGCCACGTCGTTGGACCGACCAGAGGGAGCATATGAGCTCGACGGAGGAGGTCGGCGTATGGGTGCTCCTGCATCCCAGAGGCTGGGAAGCCGGGGCGCCTATGATTATCACCACCCACCAAACCACCCCAACCCAACCCGAAGGCTCAGATTTGCCCTCCATTTCCAGTGGGGGGGGTTCGCGGAACATCGAAAAAACACGTACGGAACCCTTACCCCCCCCAACCCGAAATTCGGGTCTTCGGGTTGGGTTGGGGTGGTCTGGTAGGTAGTCAGATTACACCAAGCCCCCGGGGTCCACCGGAGGGCTCGGCGCACACTTCGAGCCCCTGCCAGGGCCGTGGGGGTCCAGCGCGGTGAGGGGCGCGTCGCAGCCAGTTCTGCGGCGAGGCGCGAGTCCGTCTGCCATGGGCGAGGAGAGGCAACCGGCTTTCTGCGGCGCGGATGGGCCTCCCCCCCGACCCGCACTCATTGCACATGCGAGCGCTACGCTTGCGTTCCACATCGCGCGCGTGTGTGTGTGTGTGTGTGTGTGTGTGTGTGTGTGTGTGTGTGATTGAGATCTCTGTCGGGTACTCAGCACATCGGCGGGGAGCTTGATGCCGCTCCCAGGAGCATCTGCCACGCGATTTCTGATCTTTTTGCGGTAGGCCGCGCCCTGCGCGAATGAGAAGTTTTTTTTTTTTTTTTTTTTTTTGTTTTTACTCCACGTTGCCCCCCTGCGAGATCGAAGTGACCTCGGGCCCACTCACTCCGAGCCTCTTCACCACGCGAGCTGTGCACGGCCTCGATGTTGCCAGAAAGGACTTCCTCCCCACCCGTTGCCCCCCCCCCCCCCCGCAGGGCCCTGTCGGATTCTCCGCATCTGTGCGCCCTCGGCGTCTGATCGTGCTTGCCAGAGATCCAGGCGCGTCTGATCCTACAGGCGCGTGCTTTCACTGGTTGGATACCAGCTTGGCTTCAAAGAGACGGTGCACTTAGGATATTCACGTTTCTTTGCGCGCATCTTCGTTGCGAGCAAACGTGAGCATCTGCAGACATGCCGGCTGCTTCAAACATACTCATGGCGGGATAACGGGATCGGCATTTTTGGGGGAACGCGCCGATGTCGCTTCGACCTGGTCAGGATGGGGAGGAGGAGGGAGGGGGAGGAGGGGGCAGATCCCCCTATCCGCCACGATGGCCTCGATAGTCGAGGTCGGGCGAGGATCGCAATCGGCTGCCCTCGGTCCTGTGTCCTCCAGCGGTGGGCCCGGGATGTGCTGCTGCCCGGGCGCCCGCGGCGGCGGCGGCCGGCGATCGATGGCGGCAGGCAGCGGCAGCGGAGGGCGGCCCAGGAAGAATCGCTGGCCCTCCTGAACTGGGCGCGGGAGCTGGGCGTGGAGGCGCGCGCTGACGATGAACATGTGGGAGCGTATTTCGCCAGGGACTAGAGGAAGCTAGTCCCTGGTGAAGCTATTCGTCGTGTCCAGGTCACGCCACAGATCTCCCTCTCGGCGTCCATGTGCTGTTGTCAGCTGTGCCCTTCTTTGCGCCGACCCTGTCTCCCTATTCCATGGATGAGTCACGTGGTGCTCATCGTTGAAGTCCAGGAGGGAGAGATGCGTGGTGGAGGGGAGATGGGCAAGGATGGAAGGGGTACATGGTGGGGGGAAAGTGAGAGTGGATGATGGGGGGCTTGGTGAAGAAGGGGGGGAAGGAACCAGGGATGAGAGGGGAGGGGGAGCGAGGGAGGTACTGGAGCTGCGAGGGAGGGAGGGAGGGAGGGGAGGGGAGGGGAGGGGAGGGAGGGTGGGGATAGCAGGGGGCATTGGAGGAGAGGGGAGGGGCCTGATGCCGAGAAGCTCGAACATTGTTCGGAGGCGTACGCCGCTCCGCCGACTCCCAGAAGAGCAGGTGTACGCCTTCCGTTGCCAGCCTGGAACATATCCCCATCCCTATGCTGGGCATCGCCTCACCACGATGCCAATCTCAGGGATTCCCTTATTTTTTGAGGGCGTATCCCTAAGCTTGTCGTCGCCTTTTGGCGTGTCAACCTCAGGGATGTTCGAGGCTGGTAATTCCGATTTGCATGTCTTGCTTGCCGTTTCCCCCTGCTGGCGAGGCCCCGGCCGCCCGCCCCCCTTGCTCGCCCTCCCCTCGATCGCCACGCGGCGCGCGGCGCTCGCGCAGGTTGGGGTCTTCGCCTACGCGACGGCGGTCGCACTTGGCCAGGAGGAGGAGGAGGAGGAGGAGGAGGAGGAGGAGGAGGAGGAGGAGGAGGAGGAGGAGGAGGAGGAGGAGGAGGAGGAGGAGGAGCAGGAGGGGGAGGGAGCAGGAGGGGGAGGAAGAGGGGGATTCGGAACTATCAGCGGTGCACGACGCTCTAATTTTCATGTTAAGGGCGCCCAAGACTCCTTGGCAGCAGCAGCTGCAAGGGGGAATTTTGCCAGCTACAGCGGGGCCCCTGAGCGCCCACAGAATTAGTGCCACATGTTGTGAAACTCAAGTGGCCTTCCTCCTCCAGCTTCCCCCAATGAGGAAGAAATGCAGGATGATAATGATATGTAGAAGGAGGAAGGGGCGGAGGGCCAGAGGAACTCCGGATGCAACAGCGATGTTGCGATGCACCCAGCCGTGCTAAGGCACCTCCCCATGAGTCCCCACGGGCGTTCGTTGTCACTACGGAAGCGCCATCTTGAAAGACGAGCACCCCACTGGCCTTCCATTTAGGCGAGGGCTCCGTCATGAACAGGACTTGCCCTGCATCTTTTCCGCCCAAGAGAAGGAATGCGAAGGGGTATGATCATAAAGGTCGAGGAAGTGCCCAGCCAGAGTTCCATTTCGGAGCGGAGCCGCCTCCATCCGTGGAGCAGTTGCTCAATTTCACATGCTGGGCATGCGTGTTGAGGTGTCGAGCGAGAGTTTTCCATTTTGAACCGGAACCGCCTTCATCCCTTCCAGCTGCTGAGCAGTTTCGTCCTACTGGCCATGCTTGTTGAGGAGGTCTCATGCGATAGCCCCGTTCTCAAACGGAGTCGCCCTCCATCTTGTAACTCGTACATAGTTTTAAGACGCATGTGCGCTGCTCTCAGGCAACATCCATACTCTGAAAACCACCTGCCCTCTCATAGTCCTTGTGAATGTAGGAGGCTGTTAAGACAAATGCATGCCGCACTAAAGAAAGAGCCACAGTCGGAAAGCCACTAGCTGTCCACCTGTATAACTAACTGCTGGAAGCTCTGAATACGAATGTCCTCGTATTGTTGTTCAACACCGTCGGCTCTCAATTCGTCTAGCTGTTGGAATGTTTTCAGGCGAACGGGCGCGCGGCGCTAGGGCGAGAGCCACATTTCGAAAACCACCCCCAAACCACATTTCGGATATTAAAACCCTTTGCAACCACCCCCAAGCCACCCCCAAAACGAACGGAAAAACCCTTTGCAACCACCTCTGGAAGATGTTTCGGCATCCTTCCGGGTGGCCGGCGGGACGGGCCGAAGCCCCAGGGGGAGTTCTTTAGGAAAAACCGAGAGGATCCAGCACGCCAGGCACCCCTTTGATAAATCAAAAGGGGGCGGCGGATCTGGTGGCTTTCGGCCCATCCCGCCACCATGGCTAGGCTGTAAGTCAGAGGCCTCTTGGACGCCTGTGGAGATGTCTTGGAAGGTTTCTCGGAAGCCTCTTGGAGACGGTTTTTGGATATGTCTCGGGACCTCTCGGGCCTCTTGTGGGCTTCCTGGGGCCTGATCTGGGTTTCTTTGGGGCCTCCAGGGGCTTCTGGCGGTCCCCTTGGGGGCCTGATGGCGGTCTCGGGTGTCACCTTAGGGCGGAGAGCGCGAACTGGCACTTCGAGTTCCCCCTCGTGGGGCCCTGCTGGGACTCTGTCGGGGCCCTGTTCGGGCCGTCTTGGGCCGTTTGGGGGTCCTCTTTGGCCGTCTTGGGCCCCACTTTGGCGGTCTAGGGACTCTTGGGTGTTTCGTGGGCTGTCTTGGGGCGATCTTGGAGACTTCGTGGGCCGTCTTGGAGCGCCGGAAACCCGGAAGGGCTAGAATGCTGACATCTTCCAAGCACCACATGACAAGCAATGGTTTTGCCCTCTCGGGGCCCTCTCCGATTCCTCTTTGAGGCCCCTTGGACGTCCCGAGGGCTGTTGAGGCCGTCTTGATGCCATCGTGGGCCGTCTTGGAGCGATCTGGAAGCATCTCGAGGCTCTCTTGGACCGTCTTGGGCGCCTTTGGGGGCTCTTTCTGGTCAACTTGAGGCCTACCGAGGTCGTCCTGGAACTGCCTGAGGCCCTTCTCCGTGCTTTCACCCAGGGGGGTCTGCGAGGGACCGCCAGCAGAGTAGCGACCCACTGGAGGGACCTCAGGGAGGATTCCCAGAGATATCCGAGGACATGTTTTTTTCAATCTGGCGTTTTTTCCTGGACTTCGGCTTCCTGGGCCCGTCTTCGGGCCCCGTCTTCGGGCCCTGGGACCATCAAAAATGGATCCGGGACGAAAAACCATCCCCGGAGGAAGGGGTCGGGACCATTGGGGCCGCGGATTGAACAAAAATCTTATGGGGCGTTCCAAACAGGGCCTTGCCTTCGAGGATAGAAGGAGTTGCCATCTCTTCCACGGCGGAAGGTGGCGGAAGGTCGGCGGAAGGTCGGCGGAAGTGAAACAGGGCCGCCTCCGCCGGCGGAAGCCGGCGGAAGCTCGGCGGAAGCCTTGTCGGCTTAAAGAATACGAGCGCCGTTCCCTTTCCGAGCTGGGTCGCAATTCCCAGCCCGACCGCGCGCAATGGCTTCTGTGCACCGTCTGTCAATACCGCCACGGTTTCCTGAAACAACTCGACCGCCCAGTACGAGGAGAACCGGTATGACGTTGCGACCATCGAGGGCAAGCATGTCTTCGCCTACAGCTGTGGGCATTTTCGTCGTCGCTTCCGTGGCCAACTACGTCTTTGACGCAGTGGACAGCCACGCCTTCAATTCCGCAATCGACGGATCGAACTTTTTGGTCGAGTACACGTTTGGGCCCTCTGGCTGCGACGATGGTATGGTGCACTCCCTCCTGTTTTTCTGCGTCGTTAGGTGAGCGCTGACCATCTGCCCGAGTGGTCCGGACTTCCAAATGCTGCGAACGAAAGGATCTCGTACTTCTGGAAGGAGCAAGGGCTCAGGGGAGGCTTTGGGTCGTGCGCTACGTGCGGACCGTCTTTGGAGACACTGTGCTCCTCAGTTGCCGTCGTTGCTTCGCCAGGGACATGGACTCAGTCAACATGCGCGCCACTTTCGACGCCGTGCTTTTTGGATTTTCTCATGCACGTCACCTTCCACGTGCCTATTCTTCCCCGCTCTCGGATGAGCTCAGGATGTAGAGTAGGCTTTACTTTGCAACACCTGGAGCGCCTCGGGAGAGAGCTGGCTCACGGCATCTTCCGCTACGTACCTGTGATGGTAGGGAAAGACACAGACCGTTCGCAATGACTTCTCGGGGCCTACTGCCCTGGGGGCGTGCGCCTCCAGCCTGCCCCGTCCTTGTCCCCCCCTCTCCCCCGCAAGCGCTAGCGTCTTCAATTTGTGCGTGCTAGTTGCTGATCTCGGCCTTGCTGATGGCCGCCCCACCCGAGAGGGGGCTCGGGGCGCCTCTTCTGCAGTGCCGCCTCCGCAGAGGCGGGGGCGCGCAGGGGTGGAACTAAGGGGCCCCCCTGCGTAGCTCCCGGCTTGGGCCCTCACTCTCGATGTGAATTGCCATATCGTGCGCCGACTCTCGGTGGATTTTACCGTAGGCCCCTCACGAAGCGTCCCTCTGAAGGTGTTCGGGCGCAGTGCTGTGAAAAAAGGAATCTCGGCGGAAGGCGGCGGAAGTAAAGGATGTGCCCTCAGAGATGAACGCGTTCTTGGGTTTAGGGTTTCTGGAAGCCGCCATATCGGCGGATGTCTAGGTTGACGCGGCCCTGGCGAATCCTGCTGGGCGCTTTGGCAAACTGCCCAGGCACGGCACGCGCCGCTGGCGGGCGCGGCCGGGTTTTCAAGGCCGCGCCCTCGGCCGCTTCGGCCGCCCAGGCGGAGCCAGCCGGATGACACCCTGGGGCCTCTGTGTGGCTTCGCTGGGGCTGGGGCAGTCCGAGGGCCCCTCGTCGGAGGAGGACAAGGTACCCATACCTCTACCCTTCGCCCGTTTCCCCCTTTTTGGGCCTCTTGAGAGGCCCCCGCCGTTACCGCTGGATGTGCCCCGAGATTCGGCCCAGAAGGCATCCTGGGACAGGTCCCGGGAGTGGCGGTATCGGTACCTTTTGCTTCCCCCACCTCGGGGGCATCTCGGGACCTCGGCGGGCCACCTTGGAACACTTGGGCCATCTGGGGGCCCAAGTGTGGCACATCTGGGCATTCGGCCCGATCCCACATCGAGCAACCTTCGTGGAAGGCCTGCGCGCGACGAGTGCGCCAACCTCCCTTGCAGGGCCGTCGGCTTCTGTCGGCGGCTGCTTCGTTCGCTTGTTCGTTGGGCCGTCTGGGGGCCATATCGAGGACTTTCGAGGGCGTCGTCGGGCCACTCGGGGGCTCCCTTTTAAGGCCATGCGGGAAACGAGGCGGAGCAGTAATTAGGGGGAGCCACGGGGGCAGCCCCCGAGGGAGGGAGGGCATGCTTGTCCTCACCGGAGCAGTCGTCGCAGCCAGGTTCGGTTCATCAGAGTGCGGGGGCCAGAACGGCCGGACTTCGGGGCTACAAAAGATACACCATCACCCCTTTCCTTAACGCCATCCTTCTTCCAGGAGAGGAGGGGAGGAGGAAGGCAGAGGGGGGAGGGGGACTGGAGGTGGTGGTGGTGCATATTCTTTTGGGGCCTGCACGGATGGAGGGCCCGGCCTCCTGGGGACCACGCGCGGGGGCCACGCCCGTGGGCCACGCGCCGCACCAGGGGCCCGCCCTTTGGGGGGGGCTGCGCGCGGAGGCGACACGCGGGGGGGCTACGCTCTGGGGCGGTTCGCCCGCGCCGTCACCGCCCCACTCTTCTGCTGGGCCGATTTTCCACCACCTCTGCCATAGGTAGGGCGGGGAGGCGGGAGGATGGGGAGTTCCTCCTCCTCCTCCTCCTCCTCCTCCTCCTCCTCCTCCTCCTCCTCCTCCTCCTCCTCCTCCTCCTCCTCCTCCCCCTCTTCCGCCTCCTCGTCCTCCCTCTCCTACCTATGGTAGTGGGTGGTGAAAGTCTGCCCATCATCTTCTCCGCGAGTGCGGGGTGCTACGTGATTCCCCTGGTGTGCCGTCGTCCGATCACAGGCGAGAGCTGCCAGCACGGGCCTGGTTGGCGACGGGCCCCGTCTCCGCGCGAAGGCGACGCGCTCGCCCAAGCCGAGGCGGCACCGGCTTCTTCATGCTGCTGAGGGTTCGGGGGCGGAAAAGAGGGGGGTGATGACTAGGGGGTGGTGGATCTCATGGCGGGGGCCATGATATTTCCCCAGATTTCAGGGCGACTCTTCTTATTTCATTACGTCCCTGGTCCCCCCTCTGGGCCGCGCACATGCCGCCGGTCATGATTTGCACCCCCCCCTCTTGGACACCCCCTTCTTGGCCGCTCCCGAAGGGTGCCTGCCCCAGTTCGTGGATTTGGCGCCCACGCGTCAGATCCACGGATCCGAGCGGTCAGGAGCCGGTGCTTGCGCTTCGCTCGTCGCGCCGCCAGCTCTGGCCCACCACGCTCCGGCGCGACAGGTTCACCACGCCCCGGTCCCCGAGTGTCAATGTCCGAGCCTCTCCGAGTCTCCCGTTCCGCGGAGCGGGGCGACTCGCTGTCCGCTTGCAGGGCACAGCGTTTGGCAAGAGCCGGCGCCGCGACACGAGAAGAAGAAGAAGAAGAAGAAGAAGAAGAAGAAGAAGAAGAAGAGGAATAATAATAATAATAATAGTAATAATAATAATAATAATAATAATAATAATAATAACAACAATAGTAATAGTAATAGTAATAATAATAATAATAATAATAGTATTAATAATAAGAAACATAAGCATAATAATAATCATAATAATCATCCCAGAGCGACCCTACCTAGGAGTTGGATCCCCGAGGAGAGCAATATCAGTAGTAACGGTAAACGCCGTCCTCCTCCTTATCCTCATCGTCGCAGTTGTAGCAGCAGCGGTAGTAGTAGTAGTAGTAGTAGTAGTAGTAGTAGTAGTAGTAGTAGTAGTAGTAGTAGTAGTAGTAGTAGTAGTAGTAGTTAGAGTAGTCGTAGTAGTAGTAGTAGTAGTAGTAGTAGTAGTAGTAGTAGTAGTAGTAGTAGTAGTAGTAGTAGTAGTAGTGGTAGTAGTGGTAGTAGTCGTAGTCGTAGTCGTAGTCGTAGTCGTAGTCGTAGTCGTAGTCGTAGTCGTAGTAGTAGTAGTAGTAGTAGTAGTAGTAGTAGTAGTAGTAGTACTAGTAGTAGTAGTACTAGTAGTGATAGTACAGCTTAATACCTACATCTACATCTAGACCTACATCCACATCTACATCTACATCTAGACCAACATGCCAGGCTATGCTATGATATGCTATGCTGCGCTATGCTATGCTATGCTATGCTATGCTATGCTATGCTGCGCTATGCTATGCTTTGCTACGCTATGCTATGCTATGCTTTGCTATGCTCTGCTTTGCTATGCTTTGCTATGCTTTGCTATGCTATGCTATGCTGCGCTGTGCAGTGCTAAGCTAAACTATGCTATGCGATGCTATGCTATGCTTTGCTATGCTATGCTATGCTATGCTGCGCTGTGCTATGCTGCGCTATGCTATGCTATGCTACGAAATGCTATGTTATGCTGTGCTATGCTATGCTATGCTATGCTATGCCAATGCTGCGCTAAGCTAAGCTGAGCTAAGCTAAGCTAAGCTAAGCTAGGCTAGGCGAAGCTAAGCTAAGCTAAGCTAAGCTAGGCTAGGCTAGGCTAGGCTGCGCTAAACTAAGCTAAGCTAAGCTAAGTTAAGCTAGGCTAAGCTGAGATGATATAAGCAACGCTAAGCTAAGGGGACGTAACTGGGGGAACCGCGGGGCGGATCCTGGGGGAACCGCCCGGGGCGATTTACACTGCCCGGCCCCTTTCAGATAGAGAGTAAGAACCCTTCTAGGCAGAGCCTAGGTAGGGAATAGTAATAATAATGATAATAATAACAACAATAATCATAATAATCATCATAATAATGATAATAATAATAAGGTTAATAAAAATAAGAAGACGAATAAGAAGAAGAAGAAGAAGGCGAAGAAGAAGAAGAAAACGAAGACGCTCCTGGCCGTAATTCACATCAGCGTCTCCCTGGGGGCTGAGGCGGAGGCGGGCGGGGGAGGCGTTCAACCACGGCCCGCGGCTGGGCAGGTCTCCGCGTGCGCCGGCGCCGCGCGGTGGGAGCTGGCGCTGGCGCTGCTAGCAGAGGCCTCTTGCGCCGGGGGGGGGGGGGGGCGGACCTGCCAGCACGGAGAGAAGGGCGGGGGAGGGGGCCTAGGCTTCCTCGATAGGGTCGGAGTGCAGCCGGGCCGAGGTACAAGATCGAGGTCGGCTCGGGGAGGGTACGCAATGTTCTTCGTTCGGGTTGACCGAAAAGGGGGTCCAGCGACATGGGGTGGTGCAATAGATTTGGTGCAATATATTCGTGGGTTTGCACTTACATTTTGGGCGCGCAATACTGCATTGTCGCGTGCAATACATTACTTGCAATACAATGCAATCCAATTCTCTGGCGCAATACATTTGCAAAACAATTGCCCGAAATCTATTGCACCACCCCCTTTCAGCTGGACCCCCTTTTGGGTCACCAAAATTCGTGTTTAATGGAAGTTCTTGTGCATCCTGGAGGAGGGCACCCCCGCATGCTCTTCATTTTGGCTGGCGGAGGGTGTTCTTGAAGGATGTTCTTCTGTCCTAGGTCCGACAGTAGATTGGGTCGGAGGATCGCGCCGCATCGCCGAAGCCCGGTTTGCTCCACGCCGACGTCGCCGATGCATCGCCGGCGTCACCAGTGCGATGCATCGGCGATGCATCGGCAATGCGGCGCGATCCTCCGAACCTATGTACTCGGAGCCCACCTGGGAGGCCTCTAAGGGAGGGAGGGAGGGGCGGAGAGCGAGGAATGATGTCCAGCTGGGACTAGGAGCAGTGCGAAGCTTATCGCGCGGCGTTTCCCCGCTGCCGGCAACGTTGCCTTCGGACCGTCCGAGAATTTGGGCTCGGAGGTGGATCGTGGGCCGACTCAGTCGCGTCAGAGGCCCGGCACACAAGGGGAAAAACATAATGTCGGGGCTTCGAGGTCTGATTTGGGCTGGTTTGGTCGCCTTTGCATTTGGTGGGCTTCACACGCAGGGTGTGCTTTGGCGCGAGAGTTTTGCGATTCAAACTGGCACACTTGTGGCGGAAGGCTGACATCGCAGGGAATGACGACGCACTGCTAGTGAAACGCGACGGCGACTGTGAATCTGATACCCCCAGAAACGACCATGGAGTCGGATATCTTGACAGCAGTGCTAGGACAGGATTGTTCGCTTCTTCCTTGGAAGTCGTCTTCAACAACGAGCGAATGTTCCAACTCGCGAAGCGAAGCCCATCAAGACACCATGCGTCACAGTTGAGCTGCCAGGACTACCAGGAACGCATCGTCTTCCTCTCGATTCCTCGCCTCGTTCTCCATGTCCCTCTGGCTCCCTCCCTCCCTCTCTCTCTCTTTCCCTCTCTCCTGTTTTTTTTTTTCTTCCCCCCCGTCCTTCCTGCGGCTCCCTCCGTCCGTCCTCCCTCCGAGGCGGGAATTGATACATGACCACCGCCTGGAGGATCAATTTCGGGGATCTCGGCAGGCGGTGGATACGGACATATTCGGACCCCCGGGGGCCAGTGTATATGGATAAAATCCCAGCCTCGCACCTCTCTCTCTCTCTCTCTCTTCCTCTCTCCTGTCTTTTTCCTTCCCCCACTCCTCCTTGCGGCTCCCTCCCTCAGTCTTCCTTCCCTCCACTCGAAACCATGATTGTCGCCAATAATCTTAAGTCGGACATGTTCCTCTACAGGAGGAATATTCCAACACAGTCAACAAATAGTTTGGGGACGTTTCTGTGACTATTTTTGACTATTTGGAATATGTTTTGACTATTTTTGAGCTTTCTTCCAAAATCTGCCTGTAGGAGGACAGCCCCGAACTAACAATAGTCCCTCCTGCTTCTACCGCTGCTTCGCATTTCTTCCTTCACGGGGACGTCAGCAAGTAGCACGGTCAGCTCTTGCAGCCGTGAAGGCATGCAAGCACGAGCATGTACGGAAACAGTCGTATTGCATGTGCACGGAGCAAATCCCAACCCACCTGCGCGTTGGCGCGAATGCTTGTCTGGGCGATGTCGTTGCAGATGTTGGCAACGATTCGGGATTCGGTCAAAGAGTGCCTTGTTTTCCAAAGCAACTTTGTGTTTCGAGCTCAGTTGGGTCTGATGTCTAGGTCGGCCTTGCAAAATAAACGGTACCCTGGTGTCCTGTCTATCGCGTTTTTACGTCTTCTTCAGGACTGATGCATGGGATGCCTCAGAAGAGACTCGTGTCCCCTCGGGGATCCTCTGCAATCAGTGCCGACTGCAGTGAGTGGTTGAAGTTTCAGGTTTTCTTGAGCCTGTGCGCCAGAACGAGCGACTGCTCCTGGAATGCCAACGTCGGCAGCATCGCCCCGAGAGCTTTTAGAGAGACGAAACGAGACGAGATGCGAGGGAGCGTCCCACCTCATCAAAGAGGGGACGGCCACATCTGGTCTGCCCGGAGCGGCCGTGACCGTTGTGGGCCTCAGATGGATTCAGAACCATCAGGGCGTATGACGAAGCGGGCGGGAGACAGAGGGCGGGTCAATTCAGCAGTCTCGTGCGCAGGCGCGCCTTCGCGGCAGCGAACCCCTCCTTCACTTATTAGCTGACTGTTTCGGGACGATGGTAGTGGTGGTGGTGGTGATGATCTTGATGATGATAAGGATGACGATGACGACGATGATTCCGATGATGGTGATGATGATGACGATGATGAGGCTAATGATGATGCTGCTGATGATGATGACGATGACGATGAAAATGATAATGACGACGACGATGATGATGCTGCTGATGATGACTCGGTTTATGCTGATGATGATAATAGTGATACTGACGACGACGATGTTGATGACGATGACGATGACGGTGCTGCTGATGATAATGTTCATGTTGATCGTGCTGGTGATGATGATCATGATGAGGATGAATATGACGATGCTGCTGCTGACGATTATGATGTTGCTGATGTTGCTGATGAGGATGATGATGCTGGTGCTGGTGCTGATGCTGATGCTGATGATAATGACTACGATGATGACGATGGTGATGCTGATGTTGATGACGATGATGATTATCATGATTATGATGGTGATGTTGGCAATGCTGATGGGGATTATGATGATGTTTTTGATGGTGATGATGGTGACGATGGTGATGATGATAATGATGACGATGATGAGGTTAATGATGATGCTGATGATGATAACGATGACGATGACAATGATAATGACGACGATGATCATGATGATGCTGCTAATGCTGATTATGCTTATGCTGATGATGACAGTAGTGATGATGATGAAGATGATGATGCTGATGATGATGATGATGATGATGATGATGCTGATGATGATGATGCTGATGATGATGATGATGATGATGATGATGATGATGCTGCTGCTGCTGCTGATGATGATGATGATGATGATGACGATGTCGACGACGATGACGATGACGGTGCTGCTGATGATGATGATGATGATGATGATGGTGATGTTGATTATGTCTATGATGATGGTGATTATCATGATGAGGACGAAGATGATGATGCTGATGATGATGATGCTGATGATGACGATGGCGATGATGAAGCTGCTGCTGTTGATGATGATGCTGATGATGATGCCAGTGCTGAAGCTGATGCTGATGACGATGACGATGATGATGATGATGATGATGATGATGATGATGATGATGATGATGATGATCATGATTCTGATGATGCTGATGATGATACATGATGATGATGTTGGCGATGCTGATGGGGATGATTATACTGTTCTTGATGATGGTGACGACGATGGTGATGACGATGGCGATGATGATGACGATGCGGATGATGCTGCTCATGATGATGATGATGATGATGATGATGATGATGATGATGATGATATTGATGATGATGCTGCTTCTGATGATGATGATGACGGTTTCGATGATTCTGACGATGACGATGATGAGGATGCTTGAGATGATGATGATGATGATGATGATGATGATGATGATGATGATGATGATGATGATGACGATGACGATGACGACGACGATGATGCTGCTGCTGATGCTGATGATGATGACGAGGATGACGATTACGATGATGATGATGACGACGGTGATGCTGATGCTCATGATGATGTTGATGAGGATGCTGATGCTGATGCCGATGAGGATGATGATGATGAGGATGATGATGGCGATGGTGATGACGATGATGATGATGATGATGATGATACTGATGATGATGCTGATGATCATGATGATAAAGGTAATGATGTTAACGATGATGATTGCGGTGGCGATGATGACGATGATAATGATCATGATGACGACGGCGATGCTGATAATGCTGACGATGCTGCTGATGATGCCGCTAATGTTGCTGATGATTATGCGGATGACGATAATGATGACGATGACGATGACGGCGATGTTAAGGATGATGATGATGATGATGATGATGATGATGATGATGGTGGTGATGATGATTCTGATTCTGATGATGATGATGATGATACTGATACTGATGATGATTCTGATGATGATGATGATGATTCTGACTATGATGATGATACTGATACTGATACTGATGATGATTCTGATGATGATGATGATGACGATGTCGAAAACGATGACGATGCTGCTGATGATGGTGATGATGTTGATGATCATGATGATTCTGATGACGAGGATGATGATGACGATGATGGTGTTGCTGATGATGTTGTTGTTGCAGTTCTTGCTGTTGTTGATGTTGTTGTCGTCGCTGTTGTTCTTGAACATTATTACTTCTAAAGAATAATTATTGTTGGGACCCCTGGTGCACGACCCCCCCGCCGCGCCTAGGCCGCAGCCTCATTTTCATCATTTTCGTGAGGAAGTCTCAGGCAAAACGGGTTGGTCCGGATCCGGTTGTGTTGTTACGATCGGTTTTCCCTTGCAAAAAATAAGCTAAAGTGGACATTTCTTGTTCTAACATAACCAAACTTCAAGAATCCCTTGCAAAAAATAAGGTAAAGTGGACATTCGCGCGCGCAAGACGAAATCCTTCCAAAACCTTAGTTTTCGTAGCGATTTTAACATAAAAACATCAAAAAACCAATGGTTTTTCAAAAACAAATGTCAAAATTTCATCCCGCGCGCTCTTGCGGATTCGTAGGAAACCCAACACTTTTTAAACATTTCTGTCAAACGGGCTTTTGCGAGCAACTTTTTCGAACTTCTGCAACAACGGTTGCGCACCTGCCAGGGCCATCATCCCTGTCAAATAATACCATGCGGGACACATTCGTTTTTTCTTCGCGCGCGCACGCCGTCGTCGTCGGCCGCGGGGCCCTGAATAGTAGCCACGGTCGTCCGCATGCCACGAAGTGAAGTGTCCGAACGTCATAGGGCGGGAAGCTGGGTGTGGGTGGTGGCGAAGAGTCGTTTGGAAATTTGGTAGAGCTTGAACCGGCCCCCCCACAAAGTGGGGGTATTGCCCGCCTCCTATGAAAACCCTGGCACTGGTGAGAACGGTGTGTCCCCATGTGCTAGTAATTGTTATTGTTGTTGTTGGTGTTGTTGTTGATGTTGCTGGCCATGATGGTGGTGGTGTTGATGATGTTGGTGCTGCTGCTGCTGATGATGAAGAGGATTATGAAGATGATGCTGATGATGATGATGGGGGTGGTGATGATGATGATGATGGTGATGATGGTAATGATGATGATGCTGATGATGATGAGGATGATGATGATGATGGTGATGATGACGATGATGATGACGATGATGATGATGATGATGATGATGACGATGGGGAGTGCAGGGTGAAGAAGCAATCATGTATGATGCAGGGATGCCGGAGCTTCAGCGCTCGTGCGTCTACCGCTCCAGAAATGGGGATCGCGCGTGGCATGGGACCGCGGCTGAGCAGTGCACGCTGTAGAGAAGGAGAGCGGGAGCATTGGACAGCAGGAGCAGATTATGCAGACAGATCGAGATCATTGTGACGCTCACATTTCGAATATTTCCCGAATGCGCCGGGGACGCAGGTTACTTTTAGCATGCTGATAGTTCAAATGTTGGGATATCCTGTTGCGATAATCATCAGCGACCCTCCCCAGGTGCAGCGCAATGGGCTTCAGGCGGACGAGATGCTTTACAACACTGCGATGAGTGCCTGTGACAGGCCGCGCATGCTTCGTATATTGGTGGCAGTCTCGATCCAGATGACGAGTGGGCACAGGAGTAGTCTGAAGGGGGAGGGCAGGTAGGGGGGCAGCAGGATTTGAGGCGGAGCGGGAGGGAGAGTTGCGTAGGGGGGCATTGGAGAGAGGAAGAAGGGGCGGGGGGGGAAGTGAAAGGGCCGATAGGAAGGCACACTTGTGGCCCCAGCGGGCGTGCCCGCATGCGTCCCCCGTTTTTTTCGGCACACCCCTTGCACGAGTCGCGCCCAGGCAGGGCGCCCGGGTACGCCCCCCACATAACATTGCATTACACACCTCGTGCAGATCGCGCCCAATAGGGAGCTCCACCCATGGCCCCCAAGGAATCGCCCTTGTGCGCATGCGTCCCCCGCCCATGCCGGCACATCCTTCACACGGATCGCGCCCCACGCGCTCTCCCTTTCTTCAGCAGTGAGGTCCTTAACGCAGCGCCTCCCCGCCCGTTTTGACGCAAACCCTTACACGAATCCTGCCCCACAGGGAGCCCACCTACAGCTCTCAGCGCCCCCCTGCCCGCTCTGCAGACTCTTGAAACGGCTTGTGCCCCAGGGGGAACTCCACCTGCGACCCCAGTTAGGGTGTTCACGTAGTTTCTCCCCCAATTTCGGCATACCTCTCGAACGGATCGTGATTTATGACCTACCGCCCCTGTAAGGGTGATGCATAGCGCCCCCCGCCGATCTTGGCACAACTCGCCCACGGATCGTGGCACACAGAGAGTTCCATTTGCGGCCCCAGTGGTGGCGTTCACAGAGCGTCACCCCGGCAACTTTGTCTATTGCTCGCGCGGATCGTTCCCAACGGGGAGCTCCATCTACCGCCCTAATGGTGGCGTTCACATTGCATCCCCCCGCCCATGTCAGCACACCTCTCAGACAGATCGTGCTCCGTGGGGAGCTTTCACTGCCTCACTCCCGTGGCGCGCTGCATAGAAGTATAGCCCTCCCGTATTGTTTGCGTAGAAGGAGGGGCCCCCCCACACATAGAAGGATAGCCCCTTTGAGGGGCAACGGATTCTCGCATGCCTTGTTGCCCAAAAATGTTTGCTTTGACAAGTGGCTGGAGGTCTGGGGAAATGACTGCACTTCTTCACGATGCAGTGAGACCCCATCGGACTAGCTATATGCCAGTCTATTCTAGACGCTTCGCGTGACCCCACCAGATCCCGACTCCCTGGTGTCCGACGCTTTGCATATTTGCACGCTGGCAGTTCGACTCCGTTTCAGCTGTCCCCCCACCCGCCGGTCCGCCGCTGGGCTGCTGCGTGAGGGCTCGGTTTGCCGCTGAAGGCGTAGCCTCCCTCCGTCGCCTCAGGCTAATTCGTCGCTGCGTGCCCCGCTTTGACTGGACTCGCCGCCGGCGCGCTCGCCCGCGGCCGCTGACTAAAAAAGTAACCCCACCAGTCACGGTTGCAGCGCCTGGCAGTGTTGCTGCCCCGCCCCCTCTTCGGCTACTTCCTGGTCCCGTTCTGAGTGGCGGTGTTAGGCCTGCTTCTGCTTGGTTAATTAGGCCCTCGCGCAGCCCGCCCAGACCCTGACTCGCCGCTGTGCGCTCTCGCCTGCGGCTGCTGACAAAAAAGTACCCCCACCAGTTCGGCCTACCACCGTTTTCTCCCGCCGCCCCAGTTTCGGGCATGAGGTTGCTGAGAACCCCCCCCAAACCCTGGACGCAGGTCTGCGGGCCTTTCCTTCGTCGTGGCCACCCTGGACGCGCAAGAGGTCTGCCTGCTGGCCTCTCCCTATGTCGGGGATTCTCCAGGGCTCCTGGGCCCGCGGCTCGCCTTGTGTCTGCCGCCTCTTTCCGCCTGGGGTAGACGGACACCGGGTCCTCCCCCGCGTTGCCTCCCCCATGGCCTGCTCATGTCCTTTGGCGTTGGCTCTCGCCGACTCTTCGCCGGAGTTGGGCTTCCTCTCGCCGGCTCCTCGCACCATCTGGCGACCGGCGATCCGGAATTTCCGTCGAAAGCCTGTACGTCATGTTCTTCGTCTTCTGGGCCGAGGAATTCACTTACTTCTTGGTGCTGCGCGTCGCCCAGGTGTTCGTCCTGAGGCTGGCGCTCTTCTGAACTGCAGAAAAGTAAGCCCAGCAGCCCATCCAGAAGCGATGCCCAGGCGAGTTGCCCAGGTCAGGTATGTGGGGGAGCATGCACTGGAATAAAAGCTGGGAAGCTGGCCGCCATGCCCCAAGAGGGACAGGATGAATGGGAAACCAGACGAGAAGGAGGAGGCGAAAGGGGAGTAGGAGTAGGAGTAGGAGTAGGAGTAGGAGCAGGGGTACGAGTAGTAGTAGTAGTGGTAGTAGTAGTAGTAGTAGTAGTAGTAGTAGTAGTAGTAGTAGTAGTAGTAGTAGTAGTAGTAGTAGTAGTAGTAGTAGTAGTAGTAGTAGTAGTAGTAGTAGTAGTAGTAGTAGTAGTAGTAGTAGTAGTAGTAGTAGTAGTAGTAGTAGTAGTAGTAGTAGTAGTAGTAGTAGTATAGTAGTAGTAGTAGTAGTAGTAGTAGTAGTAGTAGTAGTAGTAGTAGTAGTAGTAGTAGTAGTAGTAGTAGTAGTAGTAGTAGTAGTAGTAATAATAGTCGTAGTAGTAGTAGTAGTAGTAGTAGTAGTCGTAGTCGTAGTAGTAGTAGTAGTAGTAGTAGTAGTAGTAGTAGTAGTAGTAGTAGTAGTAGTAGTA